TCTCTCTCTCTCTCTCTCTCTCTCTCTCTCTCTCTCTCTCTCTCTCTCTCTGTGTGTGTGTATGTGACAGCACCGGGGCCAGATCTTGATTTTAGACTGCAGGAGGCCAGGGCTGACTCTTTACCAAGCCCAGCATTAAGGATTTCACCAAGGAAAACTAGGAAGAGGGGCTGACTAGACACAGCTATCTAGCTGTTCAGGTTCCTGTTTGGTGTCAGGTCACTTCCTCACTTTCTCAGCAGCGGGGAGAACTGGCTCTATCAGCACCCCCACTCCTCTAGCCTCGGTTCTGTCCCTGGGCTCTGACAAAGAGACCAGAGACCAGCTAGTTCACATTCAGACCAGCTGGCTTTGCCTGATGTTTTAAGCTTTGCTTTTTTTTTTTTAAAAAAATGTCTTAAAAAAAAATGTAGTGATGTGGGATGTAAACTGAAGAGGGGTGGGAAGGAGGAAGGAAGGCAAGAGGTGAGAGCAGGGAGGAAGTTGCCCCAGGCACCTTGATCAGATCGGGGCTAATTAGGGGGAGGCTTGCAGATCTCCCTCCAGCTCGTCAATTGAATCAAAATGGTCTCGGTCTTTTTATGATTCTAACAAGAGTCTGGCCCTTCTAATTTTTTGCCTGCTGAGCTGGGGCTTGGCGGGAAAGAGGACATCACTCTATCAGAAAGGCCCAATGCCTGGGCACTCAGCAGACTCTCCTGTTCCGTCTTAGCTTTGGCTGGTTTTTTAAAAAATCAATCTTCAATAGTTTAGGAGGATTTGCCTAGGCCTACAAATTCTAAGGCGTGAGGATGCTGAATAGCTTCTGTTCATGCTGGACCTGGGTTGGTGTGTTCAGGGCCGAAGAAAGGGACCTAGGAAAGCGCAGGTTTCACGTGTGAAAAGAATTCACATAAAAGATTATTCAAGACAGGCAGGGGAACGCGCGAACAAACCTATACACCTAGAAAAGGCTTTGGCACCCGTTGGCACACGTTGGTTGCCAGTGTCAGTCTGAACTTGGACTCTGTGGGTGGTCAGTGCAGGACAGCCCTGTCTACTGCTGTCAGGAATTGTTTTGCATACATCAAAATCCCTACAAGTTCACCTTTCTTCAGAACCATGCTTTCTCGCATTTCGTTAGAGCACTGCCTTGAAAGTGTCCCTCCTTCTTCCCTGCATTGGCTTTGGTTTCAGCATTAGATTGTAGTGCTGCAAGAGGAATGGACCCAGGGAGAAAGCTGGGTACACGAGTCCTTTCCTCTCCTTCAGTATTGCTGCAGAGGAGACCTGTCCCCAAGCTACTGCTTAAAAGTCAAGTGTAGAAACTGGCTCATTCCTTTACAAGGGGTCCCCTTTTTTCCCAGTGTGGGGTGGGGTGATGGCTAATGGGTGAGAAACAAGGAGGAAGCTAATGTGTCTTCTTCCCAGGGAATTTAGCCACTGGGAGCTGCACCCTGGGCTTTCCCACTTGCCCTCTTGCTGTCTGAAGGGCCAAAGACGGCTGCTCTCTGGACTGATTCAGGGAAGTCTAGACAAACAAAAACTCCTGGTGGCATTCTTTGCTTCCCATAAGCACACAAGAAAATGAACTTGTATCAGAGGGCGGCTCAAAACCCCACAGAGGTCCACATCCCCAAGGTTTGCTGCCCTTGAGACCAGCTGGAGCAAATGTAGCACAGATCTACAGATCGGAAACCTACTTGTTGGAGAAGAAGTGAAAGTTTCTGGCCAGCAGCCAGTTCTTGCAGCCCAACTAAGCCATTTTCAATAAATTGCAAAGTAACACTTGCCGCTTGGCTCCAGCCCCAGCAAAATAGATTTACCTCCCTGTATCAATTTATCCCCCCCCCCCCAGGAAAGCCCACACAGAGGCAAATTAGCCAATTTCCCCTGTTGCTGCAAAAACAACTTTTCCTTAAACAAAGTCTACCCCCTCCTCACACCCACAATCTGCCTCCTGCCTAGGCAACTCCTACCCCTTAAACAAAGCAGCTTGGGAGCAGTTTGTTTTGTTATATTTTTAACTTTCCAAAAATATTGGGAAAAGCCCTTCCCAGGGCTAAGGAAACTTTAGTACTTGCTAAACCTCGAGGTTACCACGAATACACTGGAAGGGCTCTGCTTGGTTTTTGAAAAAGTCAGGCAGGGCTTGAAGTCAACATGTTTGGAAAACAAGTCCTGACTTCTCACAGCTCCGAGGCTGGCCAACAGCAGGTCAACCGGCTTTTCCTCTGCAGCATTGAATCATTGTTGAGGGAAAGCAGGCCTGCCCTGTGTCCTGGCTGCTGACCACAGAGAGATGTGGGTCTATGGGCCAGTGGGGCCTTCTCTAGGGCTGACCTGGTGGACTCCGGACCAACTTCTTCAGGCATCTCCATTCTCCCGCTTAGTCTTTGTCCTGTCCTACTTTCTTAAGGGAAATCCAGTCCTCTTTACTACCTGTGTCTTCTCTCTCTCTCTCTCTCTCTCTCTCTCTCTCTCTCTCTCTCTCTCT